GCGGAGACATAAATTTTGTTGGGAATTGCTGGGCTGGGCGGGAGTGGCGTCATTCAGGTGCTGAGGCACGATTCGGGTAAGAAACACTTCGGTCCCGTATCTTTTTGCACAAATTGCTCGCTCCGCGAGCCCTATTTAGTCTGGGGAGTCTTGGATTGATTCGCATTGTTTGGGCTCCCTAAGTGTGGATCCCCCGCATGCAACGCCGGCCTCTTGGTGTATTATTTCACCCCAGGGCGCACGTGTCTGAGATCGTGTGTTTATTAACTCCGTGCCAAAGGGTTATCAAACACCGCAAGTTTCCTTCAAGTTTAGCATAAATCCCAAAATCGAATTTAAAATCCACCGAATCAAGCAAGTACATGAATTATTCACCACGTCTGTCCGAAGTCATCTCTGACTCGTTTCGGGACAATAAAATTCGAATAAATCTCCTCCCAGAGACGCCTGGAATGGAGATTTAAGAACGAAGACACTGCTGACACTTTTTTTTTGTTCGTGTGTCTTTGATGTTGATTGATCGAGGCGGACGGTGTGCGATGTAGGGACATTTTGTATGCACGTTCCTGTGTTGTATAATGGTGAGTACTTGACGTTTCACACTTACAATGGTACGTGTCTGGATAGGATTAATTCGGTTCTTGAGCGGCTTACTCGAAACAAAATAGAACGAGCCCTTGAGGTGTCAAAGAAAACCGGAACGCAATTTTCAAATTTTTCTAGTCCAACAAAAACCGTTCGTTCCGCCCCAGTTCCGCAAAATTCGCGACTTTAATCTCGTTATGCAACCTCGTCTGAAATTTTATCTCTACAAACACAATTCATTTCCCCTTTCGAACGCGATTTTAATGCAGTCGTTTTTCGGCATTGTTAGCAATTAACCGGGTCCTCATTATGTGGGTCCACCGTTTCGGAATGGTCCACCGCAGTGACGCGAGCCATCTGCTTGACATCCGGTGACACCCAGATTGTGTTAAAGTGTAATCTCGTTACTTCTGGTTGAGTGTAATTTGTGTACAGTTTTTCACTTGTCATTCAAACTTCCCCCGTCCCTCGATTCCGTCGACTTTTTCCCTCGAGCTTTTTCATAACGCTCGGTACAGCTTTTTTTATTTGGGTGAGGTAGTGAAAGTTTTCATCAAACCCCTCCCTTGCGCTGATTGAAAAAGGCACGGTTGGAAAACTTGTTTGTAAAAAGGCCGGAGGCATAAAAGAACACGAGGAGTTGGCGGTACTGAGAGCTTTCGTATTGTTATTGAATCCTGCCGTTGGTTTTTGCCTCGATGAGTTATCCTGCGAGGGAATGGTGTTTGTGTATTGAAAATTTAATGGGAAAGCGCTGGTGCCGCTCCTCGAAGCGCCGGCATTAATGACAATGATTTATTTTTAGAGCTTTAAAGAACTGAATATCACAATTGCGGGATGTGGGCTTTTAAAAGCTGAGGAGTCGCCTACCTGTGCTTTTTGATGATGTGATTTTAAATTTGTGATTTTCTTTCATTCGGTATAGAAATTCTACTTCATTTTAGAATTTCTCAAGGCTTCATAATTGGTCATGTATTATTTAGTGTATTCATGAGACATTTAATAAATTGTTACTACAAGAAAAGTTCAAACTTTTGATTGTTCTTTCATGTAACTATCATATCAATTCATTGTCCAAACATTTTTGCCGTAGTCTGAATATAATTAACCTTTCACTGTTTAATAAACTAATTAGAAATATCTCGTTCTCTCGTCCTCTCTCTCTTCTCCCTACTTTCTACCTCTCTTCCGTTTCCTTCCCCTTTTTTCTTTGGGCAATGAGAAATGATTTAAAAAAATTTTTGTGTCCCTCCCTCTGTCTTTCTCGCATCCTCTTCCTCTCCCCGATTTTCTTTCCCTACCAAGATAAATCTCTCCTTCCTGTTTCTTTTTTCGCTCTCATTTGCTCGTTCTACTTCCGATTTTCTCTGCCTCTTGTTTTATTTCTCTGCCTCGTTTCATGTCTTGCCCTCTGCACTTTCTCTGTGTCTCTCTCCGGATTCCTTTCCCTCTCCTATTTCGTCTGCCACCCCTGTTTCCTCCTTCTCGACTGTTTTCCTTGTCTCCTCCGTTTCCCATCCCTCTTCACTGTCTTTCTCCAGTTCCCTCTAACTCTTCCGTTTCATTCCCCCGCTTCTCTTTCCAGTTTCCTCTCTCTGATATTCTCACTCCAATTTCCTCTCTCTCCCTTCCTACTATGTCTTCTCGTTTTCTTTCGATTTCTCTATTTTTTTCTTCAGTTTCCTCTGCCTCTCTCCCACGCGTCTTCTTCCCCTCCCTCGTTTTCACTCTGTCCTTCCCGTTTTGGTTTCCCCTCTTTTTCTGTTTCTTCCTGTTTCCTATCTCTCTACGATTTTCCCTCTCTTTCTCCGAGTTTTCTCTCGCCAGTTTCCTCTAGCTCCCTCCTTCTGCAGTTTCGTCCCTCTTCCCCCGTTTTTCTCCTATTTCCTAGATCTCTTTCTTGTTTCCACTCTCCCCTACTCTTCCCCATCTTTTCCTTCGCCTAGGTTTATTTTCTTTTTCCTCCTCCCTCCCACGCTCTCTCATTCTTGATCTCCGACTCTTTCTCTCCCTATTTCTTCCTTTATCTTTCTTTTTCCCTCTTTCTTTAAAGCGCCACTCCTCTCGAGGGTTTCATTAAAATTTTAACTACGAAACGAAGCCGGAAAGAACCGGAAAGGGAGAAAAGCCCAGAAGAGAAAAAGAAAGAAATAAAACCGAAAGGAAAAAAGCAGGAGACACATAAGGCCGGAGAAAGAAAGCCAAAGCTGGAGAGAAAAAGTCAGAAATGACAGTGAGAGGAAATACAGAGAGAGAGGACGGGTAGGGAAAGAGAGAAAAAGGGGCGGGAGAGAGAAAAAGAGAGAACGGAGAGGGAAAAACCAGAAACAGAAAGGAAAGAGAAGAGAAAGACGGAAAACGCAAGGGAGAGAATGGAAACAAACGAGAGAGAGAGAGAGGGAGGAATAGGAGGGAGGAGAGAAAACTACAAAGGAAACTAGGGAAAATAGAGACAAAACGCAAGCGGAAAGGAGTGACAGGAACCGGAAGAGAGAAAACCGGGAAGAGAGGAATTTGGATCGAGAACCAATTAACAGAGAGGGAATATCGTAAAGAGATAGGAATCGGGAAGAAAAGAGAGGAAACGGAAGGAATTGAGAGGAAACGGGAGGAAGGCAGTGAAACCGGAGGGAAAGGGCCGAAAAAAGAGAGATAAAGTCGAAGGGAGAAACAGTCGAAGGGAGAAACAGTCGAAGGGAGAAAAAGTCGAAGGGAGGGAAGATCGAAGGGAGAGAAAGTCGAGGGGGGAAAAAGTCGAAGGGGGAAAAAGTCGAAGGAGGAAAAAGTCGAAGGAGGAAAAAGTCGAAGGAGAAAAAAGTCGAAGGGTAGGGAGATCGAAGGGACAGAAAATCGAACAGAGAGAAAGTCAAAGGGAATAAAAGTCGAAGGGGGAGAAGTCCGAGAGACAGAAAGTCGAAGGGAGAGAAAGTCGAGAGACAGAAAGTCGAAGAGAGAGAAACTCCAAAAGAGAGAAAGCCAAAGAGCCAAAAAAAGAGAGAAAAGGTCGAAAGGAGAGAAAGTCAAAGAGGGAAAAGTCAAACGGGGAAAAATCGAAGGGAGACAAAGTCGAAGCGAGAGAAGGTCGAAGGGAGAAAAAGTGGAAAGGAGAGAATATCGGGAGAGTGAGAAAACCAAAAGAAGAGAGAGTCGAAGGGAGAGATAGCCGGAATGGGAGAAAGTCAACGGGGGAAAAAGTCGAAGAGAGATAAGATCGAAGAGACAGAAAGTCGAAGGGAGAGAAGGTTAAAGGGAGAAAAAGTCGAAGAGAGACAAAGTGGAAGGAAGACAAAGTCGAAGGGAGACAATCTCGAAGGGAGAAAAAATCGAAGGGAGAGAAACTCGAACGGAGAGAAAGTCGAAGGGAGAGAAAGTCGAGGGGGGAAAAAGTCGAAGGAGGAAAAAATCGAAGGAGGAAAAAGTCGAAGGAGGAAAAAGTCGAAGGAGAAAAAAGTCGAAGGGAGGGAAGATCGAAGGGACAGAAAATCGAACAGAGAGAAAGTCAAAGGGAGTAAAAGTCGAAGGGGGAGAACTCCGAAAGACGGAAAGTCGAAGGGAGAGAAAGTGGAAAAGTGAGAATATCGGGAGAGTGAGAAAGTCAAAAGAAGAGAAAGTCGAAGAGAGAGAAAGCCGGAATGGGAGAAAGTCAACGGGGGAAAAAGTCGAAGAGAGATAAAATCGAAGAGACAGAAGGTCGAAGGGAGAGAACGTTAAAGGGAGAAAAAGTCGAAGAGAGACAAATTGGACGGGGGACAAAGTCGAAGGGAGACAAACTCGAAGGGAGAAAAAATTTAAGGGAGAGAAACTCGAACGGAGAGAAACTCGAACGGAGAGAAACTCGAACGGAGAGAAACTCGAACGGAGAGAAACTCGAACGGAGAGAAACTCGAACGGAGAGAAACTCGAACAGAGAGAAAGTCGAGGGGGGAAAAAGTCGAGGGGGGAAAAAGTCGAAGAAGGAAAAAGTCGAAGGAGGAAAAAGTCGAAGAGAGACAATATCGAAGGTGAAAAAACTCGAAGGGAGGGAAGATCGAAGGGACAGAAAATCGAAGGGACAGAAAATCGAAGGGACAGAAAATCGAACAGAGAGAAAGTCAAAGGGAGTAAAAGTCGAAGGGGGAGAAGTCCGACAGACGGAAAGTCGAAGGGAGAGAAAGTCGAGAGACAGAAAGTCGAAGAGAGAGAAAGTCCAAAAGAGAGAAAGCCAAAGAGAAAAAGCCAAAAAAAGAGAGAAAAGGTCGAAAGGAGAGAAAGTCAAAGAGGGAAAAGTCAAACGGCGAAAAATCGAAGGGAGACAAAGTCGAAGCGAGAGAAGGTCGAAGGGAGAGAAGGTCGAAGGAAGAGAAAGTGGAAACGAGAGAATATCGGGAGAGTGAGAAAGTCAAAAGAAGAGAAAGTCGAAGAGAGAGAAAGCCGGAATGGGAGACAGTCAACGGGGAAAAAAGTCGAAGAGAGATAAAATCGAAGAGATAGAAGGTCGAAGGGAGAGAAGGTTAATGGGAGAAAAAGTCGAAGAGAGACAAAGTGGAAGGGAGACAAAGTCGAAGGGGGACAAACTCGAAGGGAGAAAAAATCGAAGGGAGAGAAATTCGAACGGAGAGAAAGTCGAAGGGAGAGAAAGTCGAGGGGAGAGAAAGTCGAGGGGGGAAAAAGTCGAAGGAGGAAAAAGTCGAAAGAGGAAAAAGTCGAAGGAGGAAAAAGTCGAAGGAGGAAAAAGTCGAAGGAGGAAAAAGTCGAAGGAGGAAAAAGTCGAAGAGAGACAAAGTCGAAGGAGAAAAAAGTCGAAGGGAGGGTAGGTCGAAGGGACAGAAAATCTAACAGAGAGAAAGTCAAAGGGAGCAAAAGTCGAAGGGGGAGAAGTCCGAGAGACAGAAAGTCGAAGAGAGAGAAAGTCCACAAGAGAGAAAGCCAAAGAGAGAAAAGGTCGAAAGGAGAGAAAGTCAAAGAGGGAAAACTCAAACGGGGAAAAATCGAAGGGAGACAAAGTCGAAGCGAGAGAAAGTCGAAGAGAGAGAAAGCCGGAATGGGAGAAAGTCAACGGGAGAAAAAGTCGAAGAGAGATAAAATCGAAGAGACAGAAGGTCGAAGGGAGAGAAGGTTAAAGGGAGAAAAAGTCGAAGAGAGACAAAGTGGAAGGGAGACAAAGTCGAAGGGAGACAAACTCGAAGGGAGAAAAAATCGAAGGGAGAGAAACTCGAACGGAGAGAAAGTCGAAGGGAGAGAAAGTCGAGGGAGGAAAAAGTCGAAGGAGGAAAAAGTCGAAGGAGGAAAAAGTCGAAGGAGGAAAAAGTCGAAGGAGGAAAAAGTCGAAGGAGGAAAAAGTCGAAGGAGGAAAAAGTCGAAGGAGGAAAAAGTCGAAGGAGGAAAAAGTCGAAGGAGGAAAAAGTCGAAGGAGGAAAAAGTCGAAGGAGGAAAAAGTCGAAGGAGGAAAAAGTCGAAGGAGAAAAAAGTCGAAGGGAGGGAAGATCGAAGGAACAGAAAATCGAACAGAGAGAAAGTCAAAGGGAGTAAAAGTCGAAGGGGGAGAAGTCCGAGAGACGGAAAGTCGAAGGGAGAGAAAGTCGAGAGACAGAAAGTCGAAGAGAGAGAAAGTCCATAAGAGAGAAAGTCCATAAGAGAGAAAGCCAAAGAGAGAAAAATCCAAAAAAAGAGAGAAAAGGTCGAAAGGAGAGAAAGTCAAACAGGGAAAAGTCAAACGGGGAAAAATCGAAGGGAGACAAAGTCGAAGCGAGAGAAGGTCGAAGGGAGAAAAAGTGGAAAGGAGAGAATATCGGGAGAGTGAGAAAATCCAAAGAAGAGAAAGTCGAAGAGAGAGAAAGCCGGAATGGGAGAAAGTCAACGGGGGAAAAAGTCGAAGAGAGATAAAATCGAAGAGACAGAAGGTCGAAGGTAGAGAAGGTTAAAGGAAAAAAAAGTTGAAGAGAGACAAAGTGGAAGGGAGACAAAGTGGAAGGGAGACAAACTCGAAGGGAGAAAAAATCGAAGGGAGAAAAACTCGAAGGGAGAGAAAGTTGAAGGGTGAGAAAGTCGAAGAGAAAAAAAGTCGAAGAGAGAGAAAGTCGAAGAGAAAAAAAGTCGAAGGGAGAGAAAGTCGAGAGAGGGAGGAAGTCGAGAGAGGGAGGAAGTCGAAAAGAGAGAAAGTCGAAGAGAGAGGAAGCTGAAGAGAGAAAAATTCGAGAAAAGAGAGAACGAAAGAGAGGAGAGTGAAAGAATGAAACTGAGAGAGAAAGAAAAAGTCGAGGAAAGAAGAGGGAGAGAAAAAGAGTCTGAGACAAAAGTGGAGAGGGGAAAAAGAGTCCGAGACATTAGAAGAGAGAACTGTAGAAGGAAGAAAAATCGGAGAAAGAAAAATCGTACAGAGAACAGTCGGAAAAAGAAAAATAGGACAAAGAAAAATCTGAGAGAAAAATCGGAGAAAGAAAAATCGGAGGGAGGAAAATCAAAGAGAGAAAAATTGGAGATAAAAAAATCGGAGAGAGAAAAATCAGAGAGAAAAAAGTCGGAGAGAACAAAACAAGAGAAAGAGAAGTCGAGAGAGAGGAGAGTGAGGGGTAGAAGGAGGGAGAGGCGACGAGGTGGAAAGGCAATCTGTCCCTTCCGTTTCTTTTTTCTTCTTCCACACCGTTTCTGTTCCTTCTTTCTCTCTTCTTCTCGTTTGTTTCATCCATCCTTCACGCTTTCTCTCTTTCTCTTTCTCTCTCTCTCTCTCATTTTATTTTTCAATTTCTTTTCAGCATGTGTTCAAAAGAAAGGTTTCGTTTTTGTAAAGGATTGTTTTTAATGAAACCATTGAGTTAGGGAAGAGAGAAAACGGGAAGAAGTATGAAGAAACCGGAGAGAAAGAAAAAAAAAACGGAAAAGAAAAGTGTTTCTTCGTTTCTTAGCCACAAGTTTATCAGAAATTGAAAAATAAAATGCTGCAAACGTAGAAAATTAATCCACAGCCGCTTCGTTATGCAACCAACTTTTTACCACAATCGGTAGGCAACCAACAATACAAGACAAAATAGAAATTCTTAAATCATTCTTAAAAAGCAGTTGCTTTTTTTTTCTTTTTTTTTTTTCTCCATATAGGTGTCAACAACAAAAAATATTTCGAGTAAATGATAATATATGATTATGAATGAAGGGATCTACGAGAAAAATAAACCAATGTGGAGATGCGACGTCATTACATTGCGCCATCTATACGCAATATATTACATCACACGTCGCGAAATACGTGCTGCCCTCTATTTGTCGGAAGCCGATACATTCCTACAGCGCTCTGTAATACCCACCACGACACCTAGCTTTGTAACAAACCACACCTTCCCTGTTTCTTCCGGATATGCAACCAACAATATCCCCCCCGCTTAAAATATCCGATTGATCGCTCATCGCGCCAAAACCCCCCACAAATCTCTCCCAATTAGTAAAAAATTCCAACAATTCCGTCACGTCGAAATTATCACGATGACTTTCTTTTCGCTGGAAGCAAGCACTTGGTCGATAAACCAGGCGCCAGCAAATCGGGTCGCCAACTTTATTGAACACAGACAATTGCGAAAGCCAGCAACAATACAAGCAACCGTTAAATAGCGACTAATAAATTATTCGACGTTTTCGATTTCCAACCAAAACTTGGCTGGAACGTCGCGACGCCGGATAATAAATCGGAGCGCGATTTAATTAAGTGGATTAGCTCGATCTAGTCCAGTCCCTGGGTCAATTCGCCTTAATTTAGATTATGAATTCGGCTGAATTAGTCATCTGTGGTGGTTTCGGAGCAAAACGACGAAAGCGGAATTACTATTCCAGAAACGCGACGTCCATTAGCGACCGGAGATGAATCCAATCGTGGCGGGTCCTATTTTAGCTATTACTAGGAAAAGTCATTAGCGAGCGGAACGTCCACTTGCAATATTAAGCGCACTAAATACCGAATGTGAGGTTACTTAGTTTCGGTGACAAGGGTTCGCTCTCAGTCCGCGACTTTTCTGCGTTTTTGCAAACGACGTCGACATATTAAACTGCAATATTTCGCTCGGGGAAGACGCGAATCCACTTAATCTCGCACAAAGTAGACAATTTTAACTTTTAAGTAATTTAATCTCCCCCTCGAAACACTACATATGATGAAACCTCAGAACTTTTCCATTTAAGACTGCCTGTTGCTGACAATTCAGCTTAAACCCACCACAAACCGAAGCGACTTTCTTTGTACTCCGCTCTTATTGCGACGGAACTTTAAAAGAACAGACAATTTTACTCACGAGAAATTTTCCCCAATTTCTCTGTAGCATCGCTGAATGAATAGTGCAAGTCACTTCGATGATTAAAGATCACTTTATAGCATCATTACTTGCTTCAATAAAGCTAATTGCTTTTAGAGTCACTATATTTTTTCGAGACGTAGATTAATAACACAACGTAACGACCGGAGTCGTTATGTTTTTAATAATTAACAACCCGTTACGATCACTCGGGAGCATAAAACTTGAATTAAAACTTTTATCTGTCGACCAAAATAACCCAACAGAGCCGTATCGAAATTCACCACTTGTCGCACGTGACGATAATTCTCACCCTTTAATTAATCTTGACAGTTTCATGGAAAATGCATAAACAAAAACTGGGTTCGCGCCACCCCTGGACAGCCCCTAATTAATATTAACGCACTTTTTCTTCCACGGAGGGCGGACACCCGGCCGAAGGGAGAAATAAGAACAGCGTAGATCACCAAACTGGACTGCGTTTACCGAACAGATGGAGTAATTTACAAGTCATTTTGTAGCCACGTGATCACTCTATCTGTTCGATAAACGACTGTTCCCGACGACGTATTAACTACGCACTCACGCCTCAATTAACGACACATTAAAAATCTCTTAATTAACACTTCGCGGACGTGCAAACACCATCCGATCCCTACACTTTGCATCAATTAGCGACGATAATAACAACAAAAGATGACTCGTGGTGTAATTTCCAACTTCCAAAGGAAATTTATCTGCTTATAATACACCTCCATTACCACGCGTCGTTGAATAGCAATTAGAATGTCAAAGTTGAGTAAATCTCGCGTATCTAATCTCGTCTAATCTAAAATAAACACGGCAACACGAAATAGAAAAATCTGCACGCTTTTTTAATAAAGTCGATTTCCAGGCAAAAGCGCTTTTCAATATGATCTATCAAGTGTCGTTTTCATTCGTCAAGGTCCGATTAGCATTCCGATCGAAGCATAATTATGCAAAAATGACTTTACGTAACGTTGATTGGTTAAAAGCGCGATCGATTGGCCAATCGGAGCAAAGCAAAAAAGCGATTTTGCGGTTAAAAATTTATACGAAAGCATCGGGCCGTCGATTTATTCGATTTTCATTACCCAGCAACAGTCTTTGTTGTATGACAAACGTAATCACTTTACTTACTAAAAATAGTCGTTATTGATTTCCACCACTAATGTCTAAATTTCCCCATGCTGACACTGGTTTTCCTCAAAGGTCACTCACCTGAAAGAAAGAGAAAAATAATTAGCGTGGAAGCCGCAATTATGCGGAGAGTTTTTTGAAATGAAAATTTACAGTCGGATAAGCATAAATTGGAATCCAATTATGTCCCAGCGCATATAAAAAATATGAACGACATGTTTGCGTGATTTCATGCCGGAATAAAACGATAAAATCGCCACCGTTTCTATTAGTTGTAATAAAACGCTAAAATGTACCTGTGGATTACGATCTTGGAAAAGGCGCATTAGAAACGGGTTTTTTTGAAAAGCGGCGGAGACGTATCGACCCTTGAGCGTCTTCAGGATGGCCTTGACTTGGGTCGAAATTGATGACTTGGTACGATGGCACGTTTATTCGACACCGCAAATCGTCCAAGAGTTCGATGGACTCTTGGCACAACTAACCGCACGACACTAAAATAATTTTACGAGAATATTTACGCACGAGTCGAATGGGCAATGTCCAGAGACGTTTTTCTCCACAAAAAGATTACACTTTGAGTTTCAGGCGAAGCTTTTGAGCTTTTTTAATGCGGAAGCCTTAAATATAAAACTCGGGTGCCATCACTAAATATCAACGTTTATTTTCGGCAGTCAAAACTTAAAAATTGAACGTGAATATCACTTTTTAAATCCTGAACTTCCACAATCTCAAAAGCTGAATATCAATTAGAACTTCGATTTTATCGAGGTCATAGGTTTTATTTTTGAACATTCGTGTGTTTGCGTTTTACATATCAACGTTTAAACATTCAAGCTTCCACTAAATTTCACAGAATTTTCGATAATTGTTCGAACTATTGCCATTTTAAAGACTCGCCAGATTTTTTTTAGTGACCATATTATTAAATATCAACGTTCATTTTCCGCTTCAACTTATAAATTTTCAAGCCACAATATTAAAAAACAGACGGTTCCATGTTGAATATAAAATATCAACGTTTCTGTGGTCAAAACTTAAAAACTGTACGTAAATATCAAAATTTCACTTTTTAAGTCCTGGATCTCCATAATCTCAAAAGCTGAATATCAAAGGTTCAATTTTAGAGATGTCATAGGACTTATTTACGAACATTCATTGTTTGCGTTTTACATATCAACGTTTAAACATTCAATGTCACAGAATTTTCGTTGATTGTCTGAACTGTGTCATTTCGAAGATTCGTCAGATTTTTTTTAGTGACCATATTATTAAACATCTACGTTCGTTTTCCGCTGCAAAAGTTCCAATTATAAATTTTCAAGCCATAATATCTAAAAATCAATCCACTTCGCATATTAAATTTCAACGTTTCTATAGTCAAAATTTAAATATTGTACGTAAATATCAAAATTTCACTTTTTAAGCCCTGGAGCTCCATAATCTCAAAAGCTGAATATCAAAGCTTCAACTTTAGAGACATCATAAGTCTTATTTTCGAACATTTCTATGTTTGCGTTTTACATATCAACGTTTAAACATTCAAGCTTCCACTAAATGTCACAGAATTTTCGTTGATTGTTTGATTTGTATCAATTCGAAGACTGGTCAGATTTTTTTTGTGACCATATAATTAAATATCAACATTCATTTTACGCCCCAAAAGTTCAACTCATAAATTTTCAAGCCACACTATCTAAAAATCAACGGTTCCACTTTTTATATTAAACATCAACGTTTCTGTAGTCGAAATTTAAAAACTACGTAAATATCAAAATTTCACTTTTTAAGTTCTGGAACTCCATAATCTCAAAAGCTAAATATCAAAGGTTTAATTTTACAGAGGTCATAGGACTTATTTTCAAACATTCATGTGCTTGCGTTTTATGTCAACGTTTAAACATTCAAGCTTCCACTAAATGTCACAGAATTTTCGTTGATTGTTAAATTGTGTCATTTCGAAGACTGGTCAGATATTTTTAGTGACGATATAATTAAACATCAACGTTCATTTTCCGCTCCAAAAGTTCAACTAATAAATTTTCACAGCACAATATTTAAAAATCAACGGTTCCACTTTGCATATTAAATATCAACGTTTCTGTATTCAAAACTTAAAGACTGTACCTAAATACCAAAATTTCACTTTTTAAGTCCTGGAGCTCCATAATCTCAAAAGTTGAATATCAAAGCTTCAATTTTAGAGAAGTTATAGGTCTTATTTTCGAACATCCATGTGTTTGCGTTTTACATATCAACGTTTAAACATTCAAGCTTCCACTAAATGTCACACAATTTTCGTTGATTGTGTCATTTCGATTTCTTTTGTGACCATATTATTAAATATCAACGTTCATTTTCCGCTCTACTAGTTCAATTTATAAATTTTCAAAGCTCAATATTTAAAAATCAACGGTTCCACTTTGCATATTAAATATCCAAGCTTCACCTTTATAGATGTCATAGGTCTTATTTTCTAACATTCAAGTGTTTGCAATTTAGATCTCAACGTTTAAATATTCAAGCTTCCATTTCACCGAATTTACGTTAATGATTTCACTGTGCAATTTTCAAGTCTCGTCAGATTTTTTTATGACCATATTATTAAACATCAACGTTCATTGTCAAACTTCCACTAAATTTCACCGTATTTACAATAATCGTTCGAAATGTGTCATTTAGAAGTC